GTGGGCGCATAATGCAGACAAGGCTGTGGACAAATGAGCAGTAGGCACGCATAATCGGTATCATCTCCACCGCATTCATCGAACACGAAGATGAAGTATTTGGGTGGAAGTTTCGTTTTCACCCCCACACACTCCTGAAACCGGTGTGTGCAAGCGCCTCCTTTTCTTGCCGTCCACATAACACCATTGAACGGGATGTTGTATTGTTTTGATTTTGTAGAACAACCACATTAGTTTGTTCTAACTTAGGAATTGATTGTTTTCGATTCGGCCCAATTTGGGTTGCTGTGGTGCGATAGAAACAATTTGCCACTGGCTGATATTGAACTGATTTACATGGCAACTCGGGTTCAGGAGGTGGGGTGGGGAGGGGGAACGAAACATTATCATTCGACGGTTTTTTTTTGTGTGTGTGTGTGACTATGTGAGCATGAATCTGGTTTGATCCCTGAACTATAACTGACATGGGAATGCAAAATAAACAATTAATTGAAAGAAATCAACACACTGCCTTTTCGGAACAACAAAAACAACTGATTAAAATAGTTACTTCTGTGGGTCTGTGTTTCTCAGTGAATTGTGCCAGGTATATCCGTACACATTTTGCCCCGAAGCAGTTTGTGTAGGTGATTAAGCTCCCTGCCCCACCTCAAATCTCTAGCAGTTTCGATGATGGGGCGAATGAGCTGTGAAGGACACATCCAATCTTAAGAAGAAATCCATTCTCATAGTTTTTGATGTGAAATTATCCTCCTCTGGAACAAATTTCTTCTAATTTATTAATAAATATTAAAAGGCGTTGGCGCAAATACAATTCACTGTTTTGTACAAGTAATCAGACGAGCAAAACAGGTATATCCGTCCGATCCGGGCTGATAGTGGTCAATCGATTTGCTTCATCCATTCTCTCGGCTCGATCCTTTTGGATCGGTGGCTGTGCAGATAGCTCGGACTGCACATGGTTCTTATGGTATTATTTCGATTAACCAAGGAGTTGGCATCGTTTTTCAATCAATATTCTATCTTTTTATTTTAGAAAACGGTTATACCCTCTAATAAAACCTGAAAAATAAGCTGTATATTCTGAAGTATGAAAAAGAGTAACAAACTTTGATCAAGCCTCGTGGTTGGGCAGCATTTAGATACAAACCTAACATTTCAAGCACACCACCTTCAATCGTACTCAGGCGTGTCTAGTGTGAGTCTCCATCATTTTGCGCTGAGCTGCATCGATCACAGACAGCCTTTATTTGCGATTCTAGGAACGTTGGGTTGCACATTGCAACGTACACATTTTGCTGTATTTGAACATGAATAGACTCTGGCCAATTCAACATTTCATGCGGAGGGAAATTATCTAGTAGACGTAGGTCAAAAACGGAATGCGTTCCTTCGGAGAAGGTGTAACTGGGGAGACAAAATTTAAGTGACCAAAGTCAACCTTAACTAACCGGCTATTTTTCCGTTTTCGCAAATTGACTATGGCAAGTAATTTTTCCGCATGTATGAATAGTTTTCAGTTAGTGGTATTATACATAATCAAGAACGCTTCTTTAGGGTCGATACAATGTTTTCTTCCTAAAGAAGTCGTGCAAGTCTAATGGCACTTAACTATATCCAATTTCGGATGCTCAACCGTTGAAATCGGCAGACCCAATAGGCAATTAAAATTTCGGATACATTAGCATAATTCGACAAAATGTGATAGATAACAGCAGTAAAAGTGATGACGTCATCAAGTCATTCGAAACACACCAAATTATCCATTGTACAAGATATTTGGTAATAAGACCACTAAACTGAACCCCAAAGATGCAGTAACACTGCTGAATACCGTCACCAAATCAAAGTGATTAAGAACACACAATGTAGACGGACATATGTTTTCAGTGAATTCCTTTTCAAGCCTTTAAAATCAGAAAGATATGAAAGAATTTCAACAGGTTGATTTGAAATGCCTATCCTTCGGGCTTCACCTTCACGCACAAATCTCAGTTCATCAATTCAACCATACACTCGGAAGCATTAGACTCGAGTTTCGCTCTTATTAAAGCTCATCACTAGAGCATATCCACCGTCTCGTCCGGGATCTGAACACCGGACCCATCGCATGGAATGCGTGTGCGTTACCACTGTGTCAATCGTACCATTGATGAATCAAATTTCCAATTCATGTTTGGTCAGGTATCGTTTTGCAGTAATAGTGAGTCACTTCATTCGGCCTGACAGCAACGGAAGGAGACACCAGATGGCACAGTGGTAACGCACACCCCTTCCATGCGACGGGTCCGGGGTTCAAATCCCGAGCGGGACGGTGGATATCCCCTACTGATGAGCCCTAATAAGAGCGAAACTCGAGTCTAGTGCTTCTCGATGTATGGTTGAATCGATGAACTGAAGATTGTGCATGAAGGTGAATTCCGAAGGATAGCCATTTTAAATAAATCTAAATCAATTATCCCACATCACTACTCACAGCTAACTGCGAGTCCAATGCGAATTTAATAAGATCAAACAGAAAAATGAATGTGTTTGGCAATGAGCCCAAGAGAACTCCAAATTTGTGCGCTGTTTAGATCACTTAACCAAAGTCGCAATGTTACGTCACCGTCATATGAACAAGCAATTTTCTCTTCCCTTGGCCAGGGGAGTTTGAGAACTTGAATCAATTTTCATTGTGCACAAAGCTCAGGCTTCATGAGTCGGATGCTGATCGTCCTTGCGGTTGCTAACGTCCGAAACCTTATTGCTCTCGAGGGGTGCGATGGGACTAGATAAATGATTGTAAGTGCCGGTGCATGTCAACCGTCTCTACCACATGAGCGGCGATCGAGCTTGACACCGCTCCACTCCCACTCTGTGTGAGCTAGCGTGGATTGTGCTCTTGGACCCGTTGAGATAACTGCGTTGTCGTTCGACCTACATAAGTCGTTACATTGTGTGTTATTAATCAATAGGCATATTTCGTGCTTTCAAAGCGATTCAGATGTGCCGACGGCTTAATCATCGCCTCATACTGTTCAAACAGAGAGCATGATTGATCAGTTAGTGTTCCTTCTGCTTACAAGCGTTTTCCTCCCCCTCCTCCTACTTTATCTCTTCCTGTGATCTTGCAACCGTATAATTATGGTTTTCAGTCTGTTCGGTAATTTTCTACATACACGAACGGTCACGCTGACTGCACCATCTACGTGCATAACAGATATGGTCGAATGAATTCGGATGTTTTGAGCAAACCAATGTTCAGAGATTTTTTGATTCGTATAAGTGACCTTCCAATACTGCTTTTAGTGTGTAGTTTTAAGTTATTTGTCAATCAAAAGATTAGCTATTCGATTTTCACGTTAGTCGAGCTGGATTTGGGAATACCATTTCACACAAAGCCCGTAGAACATTGAAGATAAGCACATCTTCTCTACAGTGACTCGCTACGGCTGATCGAGTCCGTCGCCAAACCATTGCAGCCGCTGTGAGAATGCTCCACTGACATTCATTTAAAAAGATGAGGCAGATACGTAGTGCCTCAGGGAAATATTATTTTGCTGCTGCTGCGGCTTCTGTTAGATAAGTGATAAATAAATATGTCCTTATTTTCTCCCCATCAACATCGGAAATCCTTCGACAGATCAATAAATATAGTGAATTTTCCCCTGAAGTGTTTATTTGCAATGGGAATAAATTGTTTTCCCTCTATTTTTTCCGCTCAACCGTTGTTTTTTCTGTCGATAACTTTCATTCTTCCAGTTTAACTGATACCACGGTTCTAGGAATCGGATATCAAATTAAAAACAAAATAGATGACTTGCAAACCTTGCTGAGTCGGCGGGGGAGGAGGTATGAGGGTGCCCGAATATCCCTGCTTTTACGGTTTACTGAAGTGAAAGATCTGCATAGTGAGGCTGTATAGTATGGCAATGAGGGAGGGGAAATGGAAACATTACCGATGCATAACGATGCACACACGCATCAATACTTGGGGTCACGAGCGTGACGGTTTATTGTTCAAGGACTGGATGACGTGTCAGGTATGAGTCACTGGACTAGCAGTCATAAACAGCATAGGGGTATGCATGAACGAGTTAAAATTGTGAAGCTGGTGGATGGGAACCAATAGTGAACACGGGTTTGAGGAACGTGAAATAGGAGACCGGATAGACTTCCTGATCTGACACCCACACCCACTTACCCACCCAGCCATCACACCCACCCACCCAAATTATCCAAAAAATTGAATCCACGGTGCAGAATGGATTGAAACCAGGTTAAGAAATCTGTTATTTGCTGTTTCTCTGTCGGCATTCACGGACCATATCTATCTTTGTCTGTTTGATCGTCGTCCGAAGACAATCGAATGGGAGAATCACCACTTTCAGTCAAATTCAGCCCGGTTGTTGTCTCCTCACCATCCTCTTCATCTGGCATCCGGATAGATGGGATGTGAATCACTGAACTGGTAGATTGCCTAGGCGACTCATTCGGTACAGACGGAATCGGAGGGACCCGACCGGATGAGGCGGAGGAGGATCGCTGCATTGCCCGGGCACGATTGGCCGACATTGTTCGACCAGGGGAAAGTGAGGCAATTTGCCCTGAGACGATTAAATGCGGGCCGGGTGAGCTTGCAATTCTAGACTCGCTCAAGTCCCGTGCACTGTGCACTTGGCGAGTTGAACTCTTTTCCCGAGAGAATATTCCATGTTCCGGTAAAGTCGGGGTAGAATAAGGGGTGAACGAAAGAGAACGGGAGGGGTAAAAATCGGTGCTCAATATTTGATTTATTGCCAAAGGTAGTGAATCAAAAGTTGAATGAAGCTTTTCAGTTCCACAAAATACAGTGCTTTATACTGCAGGTAAAAACATTAAATATTTGAAACAGTTTCAACTAACAATAATATATATATATATCGCAGTGGACAATGATTAGTGGTAAAACTAGGGTGTTGTGTAGGATGATCAACTGCACAACTAGATGGATGTTATAGCACAACGATATCACGTATTCGAAGGGATTACAGCTAGTTTGAACCTCTGATTCCTTTGTGCAACAAAATACTACTTCAAATTTTGCGACAAACTCATTGTACCAATCAGAACCCTAAGTGTAGGTGATCACGTGTTTCTATCGATTTCATTTCCAAACGATTAAAATGCTATTGACTCAAGAGACAACAGGGTTGGATTTGTTGGACGCACTGAGATCGATCAGTCTGGTCCAGTTCGCTACCAGTGAAGCTAGATGGTGGAAGTGGGGGGGGGGGGGGCGCTCGCGGAATGCATAAGGATCCCAATATAGTTATGTGGCACCGGGACAAATATAGTGTGAATTTCTACCATAAGCGGATAACAACCTGCTGGTACTAGCTGAAATCCTTTCGTCCGAAAACCATTTCAGTCAGAGTGTGAGCGCAGACATAATGTCGGACAATTATCACCACGGAACTGTTGCTTGGACGTGCACACATTCGCGTATCTCTCTGTCTGTCTCCTTATTCATTAATGAACTGGTACAAAGTGAATGACACTACTGCATCCTAAATAACCCATCCTTACTGCATTCCCATGAATATGATTGACACGGTTTTACTTCACTAGCACTTATCAAAGTGTCAAAATTTTCTCAAGTTTCGAGTATGGGTTTCACTTAGTGGGCGTTAGTTTATTCCCGTCAGTTAAATACATTCGGTTTGAATTTGAATGTTCTTTTTCAAATTTGCAATTTTAGCTTCTTAAGGATTATTCATTCTTGTTGGGGGTTATATATGATACGTATAATACGTTTCTTTTCCTGTTTGAACTCCAACCGTGAACGCAAACGGGTTTTGAAATCTACGCTTCTGTTCCTGGGGTACGCGGTCGATAACCTCATCATCCCTAACAAGGGTAGTATTGATCCGCATTAAAAAATAAATAAAAGCGAAACTTGTGCACGCGCACCGTTTGCGTTTTATGAAACGGGACTGATCCCAATCGTTCCAACAACCGTGGTCTCTTTACCACTCAAATTACGCATGAATGTCCCGGACGTTTTGCTCTTCCCATGAGCTGCACACTCTCTGTCTGTATAGTCCCATTTCAGACTGGAAGGCAGTGTGATTGAAATGATTTTGTGATCAGTCTAAACTAGAACAGGAAGTCAATCTAACATGGTTATTTGTTCACGAAACTAGCGGTATAAAACTGGTTTTGAACGTATGAGAGTTCACTGTTCTGTGAACGTATTTACTGGAAAGAAATACAAGTCGCGAAGTAGTGTGCTGATGCAACATTTTGACAGGTCGTTATGACACAGGCCAATCGGTCAACTTGAACGGGAAAACTTCCTGTCAAAGCTCCTTCGAAGAATAAAATCGTCGAACAGATACCACCCTGTATTCGTATTTAGCACCGGTTACTCAAAAAACAAAATGATCTAACCACAATTTCTTCAGCCTGGCGGGTGAGACAACGCAAGCCTGAACAGTCAATACGCGTTTAGGCGAACAAATTACCGATTCCCGTCCGCATATTCCCATCGTTTTTTTCTTTTCACAGTACACTCATTATCTTGCTCGACNCTTCGCTGTGGAACTTCACCCATCGAGGCGTATTAAACACTCCGGAGCAATCACTCGCGCATCGACTTGGCCCAGGGTGTGCATGCAAAACAAATAAGAAGTGTTTTTGCGAAACTTCCGATACTTCATTGACGTTCCACGTTTGTTGTTCGCAAAATAGTACGATGAACTCGACGCCGATAATAGGTTTTGGATAACAGAACAAATCGAAAGCAAGCTGTCGATTGTACTTATTGCTTCACTCCAATGGCCATTAATCAAATCCCCAAATGGGGTTCGGAGAGGGGGAAGAGTAGACTGGGCGAGGGCAAAGTTTGGAACTAGGTGGAGTGTTGAGGATACCCATCCTGGCTGAAAATGCAAATGAGCTCTTCGCGAAATGATTGTCCTTAGTGTGTGTTTGTGTACAGCGCACTGTGCCGAATTAGTTTAGTCTGAATGATATAGTGCTCCCTCTTTCCCAAAAGACAGCTACCCAGTACCGAGTGTATTATATATCGCGTGTGTAAATGACAGCCCTGTGATCGAGGAAGAAATCATAACGGGAGAACTGCGCATATGCACAACATGGAAAAAAATATCGCATCCCATCAAACTAAACGTAAAATCTGCCATTAATTGAAAGCACGTTTATCACTATTGTATTCTGTCACCTCTTTGTTCATTGGATATGTAATCGTATAAGCAATTTTCAGGAGGGGAGGGTAACCAAAACACTGCCATGTGACAACTGAACGAGAAAATTTAGGTGTGGTTGACGGTATTGGTGGTGAGGGTGTTGATGGGGTTTCACCATAATTTTTCCGGAGTCGGCGACCACCAACCGATAAACACCATGATATAATCGACTGAATTATGTCATTTAGGTGAATGTTTTTATATATTAACAAGGTGAAAACGGAAGAGCAGACGCAGTCAAGTGTGCTTGCACTTTGAAGTTGTTTATGTTCACCATCACACGAGAGCTTTTTCGGGCGGTATCTATTTAGTGGTTTTTANTTTTTACGTATGCGTGTGTTTTTCTATAACTTCTTCCGATCGAATAAACGTTTCACTGATTCTGTAAAACAAATTACATTTAAAAGCGTACATGTGCTATCGAGTATGCAGCTGACGAGAGCTTTCTCATGCAGTTAAAAATCCCCCTGTTTGACACTGTTGTAACAGTGGATGGTGCCACATAAAGCAGTACTGTCGATGTGGCGTTATGTACTATTCATCGAACCGTAAGTGGAATCGTCCTCCTGTGGTTGGAAGAATAGGATAAAAGAATTCGTCGAATGCTCAACAATCATTTCGAGGGCTCGGGTGGGTGGAGAAATGGATACGGGAAGATTACTCAATATAAATGTGATGGGCTCTAAAGTGGGACACAAATATTGTAACATGTATCAATGGTGATCTACTACTATATTCTCGTGGCACTATGCACAGGAGAAACACAACTGGAGCCTTATACGTAATTTCTTTGAATAGATAAAATATATGCTTTCGATCTGAGTTAATTCTGTTGGATAGCTTGTCTCAGACTAGCTTCCATTTCGGAGAATCCCTGTTGATGGAACCAGGCAACAGTATGAAGACAAAATGTGCCGATTATTTTGGGATCAAACAATCTCTGGTTGATTTCATCAGTAACCACCTTACATCTGACAGATTTCGTCTACGTCTCATGTAATATAATTTAATAGTTCGAAAGAATGACCTGTAGGTTATCGCGGAGTGACGTTTTCAGATGTACGCCGAAAGAAAGAAACCGCTCACACAACACAAATGATGCATATTCACCGTTCAGGAAATCAATAATGTTCTTTCATTTTCATAGTTACCACCGAACGATATTCGCTGAGCCTTTGCCATGTTTTACGATTTTGTGAACTGCAGTAACGAAACTTCCGTTGCACACTCTGTATCCCTCTCTGTAGGAATGAGCTATTTCGACTGATCTAGCGCATTTATTCCCTTTGCATTTAACAAACACCCAGGATGCTCTGTCGTAAAATCAACTTTAGACCTTTCAGACATTTTGTTTCATAATTCTAGGAACTGTAACATACCGAACTAAAAATCAATTACAATCGATTTTACTTAAACGTAAAAGTTTTTTAATTGTCTTTTACAGCCCCTCATAACCTAATTTCACGCTTCACTTGCCATTTTGTACTCAGTAAATAATGCTCACTGTTTCTATCCCGTTCCAGCCCAGCACTAAATTCAATTCTAGATAGCATTTATGGCGAACTCCGTCGGAACTGTTCCATTTTCCAGGTGGAAGGTGAAACAGCATAAAGTTTCAAGTCAAATAAACCCCTGTGCAAACAAAATCCGGAACGGTGAACGGTGGACCGAATAAAACGTCATTCCGTCTTACACGAAATTCGTTTACACTGTGAATTTCCTAGCTCGTCTCTTACCTGTGATTAATATCCGATATTCACCACGTTTTAATATGAATTCTCCCTAAAATTACTCAATGCCAAGAAAATAATGATAACTGGTCGATAGAATAATCTTTAAGCAATGAAGATTCATCACACAATTTTCTCGGTTTGTGGTGAACTGGTTCTGATAATAGGGCTTAATGTGTCAGATTATTCTTCTTTTCTTCTCGTGCTGTTCTTGTTTTGTCGGACTTATTTTTGAGCAATATAATTTCTCGCTACTATAATTATCTGTTGCAAGCGTATATTGAATTGGGCAGGAAGCACTCGAAGTTTGAGGTGTCAACAATAATGTTACCAGTAATTCGGAAGCGCTAAAATAACCGTAATTGATCAATAGATCTCTCGCTGATCGAACTATTTTCGAATTATTATACTCTGTGAAAATAATCCATACTAATATTATTTATTTACTCACATCCTTTTTATCTATGGAGCATAAAAGTAGGCTATGGACTTTTACAAAAGGGGTTTTGACCAAACAAGAACTGTCTGGGGAAGTGCAGGAATACGAGATGGGCTGTGGTGACGGAGGCAGGGTTCGAACTCAGGACCGCCAGGT